TAATTAATTACCTTATACGGCAGGCTCACATTTTGATATTTTATTTAAACCTCATATGGAAAGGATCACAATTCTGCTGTATTATATTTACTCTTCTTCACCGTTGCAAGTTTACCTTAATTAGCTCAAGAATGTATTTTTCTCCTTCGAGCAGGAGTAGTTTTTGGGAAATATATTTTTCTCTTTATTTTCATTGTTGAAGCCAGTGAATAATAGAACATTTTCTTTTGCCATCTCGTTTGTGATAAACAGATTGTAAGGCTTCAAGAAATTCTGATCTAGTTTTGATCTATTTTTTTAGGGTCTCATCCCCAAATTCTTTACATGAGAGACTATGCTTCTTGATAGAATGATCAATTTGGGTGGTTCCAAAAGTTATGTTCATGTCCGTGAAAGCCTTTCCATACTAAAGAGAGAGAAGCAGTAGGCACAGCAGAAACCTAAGGTCTGTTTGGTTGGCAATCCAGATTTTATTTCTTGTTTTCAAATTCACTATCTATTAAGTGAATATACGTTTGACAGTTTTTGACAAACTTATTTTTGAAACCTGTAAGGTCTGTTTGGTTGGCAATCCAGATTTTATTTCTTGTTTTCAGATTCACTATCTATTAAGTGAATATACGTTTGACAGTTTTTGACAAACTTATTTTTGAAACCTGTTTTCGAATCGTACCTCTTTTTCCAGGCCTGTTCGGACATACGGTTCCCGCGGAAGATCAAGTTGGTGAGCCGTGTGATGGGAAACCTTCCCGCACGGTTCGGAGAGCACTGAATGAGAATGAGAGGTTCACCACCACATCATTGCATGCAAGGGGAGCTCGCTCGATTCGCAAAAGGGTCCGACTCGTAATTCACTTCTGACTCCGTGTTCGATAGCCCGACCGTAGTGATGTTAATTGTGGTTACATCCATAAGTAGCTTGGTCCATCTTTATTCCATTTCATATATGTCCGAGGATCCGCATAGCCCTCGATTTATGTGTTATTTATCCATTTTTACTTTTCTTATGTCAATGTTGGTGACTGGAGATAACTCTCTTCAAACAGTGGGAATTCTGAAAACAACATTATTATGTTTTCGCCGTTTTCAAATTTTTAATTTGAAACTTTAAAACGAAGAATTATATTAAAAAAAAAGATAAATATTTTGATAAATATATTATTTCATATTTTAAACACATTTTATCTTTGTTAAAAATAAAACATTTCAAATATAACATTATAAAATAATAATTTTATAATTTATAACAAAAACGTTAATAAATTAATTTGATATTATTTTAGATTAAACTAAATATGTAGTGGGTAAGTACCATTTGTTTACAAATATACTTTTAAATACACGTTGAACAATTTTTTAACTTGAAATTGAATTTTCAAATCTACTACTAAACACATATCTGAAAGCACATAAAATAAACAATACAACTCTATTTTCAAACCTATCGTTATTGTCTCGCTAGCCACGTTGATCTATAGACACAGCCTGATTGTAGCAACTGCATGTTCATCACTTTCTACCCATTCCTAATCTGTCATTCCAACCTATTGTTCTTGTTAGCTTTACGAGCTTCAATTACACCAAATGTTTTGATGATAACAAACTTTATTTATCGATGATTTTAGTGTTTCAAAGTGTACGAGCTTGGAAAGATGAATCCAATGCATTTTGAATCACTCAAATCAGAGTTCAAACAAAGAAGTTATGGTCAAAACATGGACAAGTGGACCACTCAGGAGTTGACATGTAGCATCAAGATGACATACTTAGATGACATATGACGCTTTCAATCTCTACAATTCAAATTCCTACAAATTTCTTAGTCTCTACAATCACTCCAATCTCCATAAATTTGATATCAATTTCCACCTATTTTCTCTAAATCTCTAAAATTCTCTTTATTTCATTTTCTTACCTCACCTCTTAATCTACATCGTTCATCATTTGTTGTCCTAAATCCAATGGCCAAGTTTCATCAACGAAATTCTATATAAAGCCACAACTTCATTCTCTCTCATACACTAATTATCAAAGCAAACATCTTTTTTCGTTCAAGTTATTGTGCTTTCAAATTTTCATTCGCTCCACACAAAAAGTTGTCCATATTTTTTGGTGAGAGATACATTAGAATGTATGTTTTTTAGCTATTGCTTTAGCGCGAAATTTGTAAATCTATCTTAGTGAGGTACTTTATTTATATTGTTTATTTTACATTTTGGGTTTTGTATAGGAGTGGGTACACTTTGGGTTGTGAGAAAACACAATTGGTTGGATCCTGAACCAGATCGTGAGTTTCTCTTTAGCCTAGGAAAAAAAGATGGTCGGTCGGTTTGGTTCTCACCTGCAATAGAGTCATTGCAGTAAAATACCCAAGGAATCTTGGGGAGTGGAGTATGGATTTCTGAACCACTAAAAATCTTTTGTGTCATCTCTCTCTACTCTTTAATTTATGCATTTAAATTTCACTTTATTTTTTGTTATTATTAATTTTATTTTTTTTAAAATCTGTCATTTGAATCTTATTATCCCTTCGAAACCGGACTTCTCGCCGAATCTCATGACTCTAAACCTGACGCTCTGATAACACTTGTTGGAAAATTTATCTGATGTAGTCAAAGATGCTTTTAAGTTGTTCTTGCCTTTTAAGTAGTTGTAGCCTAAGTATCTGTATATGCGTGGCTTATGTTTCTCTTAGTTTCCTTTCAGTGCGCAGTAACAAGAAGTTAGCGTTAAGTTGTTTTAAACCAGAAACCTCTATGAATAGGCTTCTCCTTCATTAATAAAGGGATTGATTCATTTAACCAAAAAAACTCTCTCATTGGTTTACATCTTTATCGCATGCAACTTTGCGAACAACAAAATAGCTAACTACGAATCCTTTCCCCTTTCATAGTTATTCAGCGAATCCCAGTAAACTACATCAATAAGGAATAAAATAAAGAACAGAAACGACACACGCTTTATACTAGTTCACCCAACCACGGGCTACATCAAGTCTTCCGCTACACGCGGGTTTTTCTATGAATTTGAGATAAATACAATGGGATACAATAACTCTCATTCTAGAGGCTTCGACAAAAACCATCTAGCTTCTAAATACTACACCAATAGGAACCTAAGAATACAGGAATGAAAAACTCACTAACCTCGCGAGATGGGCTCGCCGACAATGCTCTATAGACCATTTTTTCTTCGTTTTCTTCTCTGCCAAAAAACCACTGCGGCCTCTTCAGATTTTGTGCTACAACATAAAGTAGCCACCACTCCCACGTTTTTCTTCTTCTCACTACCAGTTGAAAAAAAAATACTACATATATATATCTAAAAATAAGGGCACAAACTTAATCAAGAAGAAGAAAGTGAAGAAAATAATTGGGGTTTTATTTGTTTCTTGAACCAATAAATAACTACTTTTTATTGATGTGTTTTGGCTCCATTTTATCCCAACGGATTCAAGTATTGGCCTGAACGGGTAATCGCAAGCACTGCTATTTAAATGACTATGATCTTAGTTGTGTGTCACCAGTTGGTCCAAAGTGTCAATACTCATTATTACCCGATGTCCATGGAGTTCTTGATCTTCTTGGAGAGCCAAATTATGGAATGTCCCAACCGGAATAAGCATCAAATCAATCTCAAATACATTAAATACATTGTTCACTTCTTCACTCTACTAATTTTCAACATGTACTTTTCATTATTTATATCAATTTATTACATCAAAGTTGGCATGGCATTTGAATGGTGTCCTCATTTTTGTTCATTTTACCCTAACCCTAAATCAAGTATGATTGCTAATATTTCTTGTCAAAAACCCTATAAAAAAAACCAATGCCCACCTCCATTCCACCACATTTAATATCTAAAAAACAGACCCCATTCTTCAACCTTTCAAACAAAACCCAAACCTTAAATATACCCTCTATTTTCTAGTCCTCTTTGAAAAGTATTTAAAATCATAAACACCACCACAATAGATATTTTCAGAGCCTTCAGTATAAGGTTTCAAATCAAATCACCATCATAGAGAAGAATTCAATTCTAATTGTAATTTAAAGAACTGGAGTGGAGACGATTAAGAAGGGTCATAAATTCAGTTCAGATTTAAGAGAGTCTTACCTACTGATCTTACCAAAAAGGCTTCGGTAATCACTGGATCAATGCCGAACGAAATCGATTGAACAGATCTAAGGTTGAAGAATTGCAAATATGTAAATGTTGGATCCTCGAAGTTTGTGCCGCAATGTTCAAAATCACTAGAGGTCTCTCACCTCGAAGAATTATCGAATTGCTTGTTTGTTCGCCATCGCTCGAGCCATTTGGAGCAATGGAGGTTGTCGCTACTCAAATAGATAAACATCGCTGTCGCTCGGAGAGATGGAGGTTGCCGCCGCCTTCTCATCGTCCATGCAGTGGAGCTGGAGGTTGCCGCCGCCTTCTCATCGTACATGCAGTGGAGCTGGGTTCACTCGGCAATAGAGCTGGTTTGTTCGCGCAACGGAGTAAGGCCCAAAAAAGGTCTATAATAGATATGAGTTACTCCTCTAATTGCCCATTAGTTTTGGGTATAACTGGACTACTCCCTTCATCATGAATATTCATAATATTAATGTGGGATCCTTAACATGCCTCCTTACGATCGTAACTCTTTTGGTTTTGGGATGGAACCCCATGAATATTGAGATGGAACCTCATCAACATTGAGATGGCTGAGATCGTATGAAAGCTCAAAATCTCAAATGAGCATCTGGTCCGAAAAATGGGATCCGGTCAAGATGAATGAGCCAAAAGAATCAATATCTTAAGGAGTCATGTTTTAAAATACATTGGCTAGCCCGACATTGAAACATTATTATTTTTTTATTTTAGCGTGTTTTTAACCTTGTCCAACATTGGTTTCTTCCGAGTTTTTTTTCCCTTTTGTCTAACATTAAAACGCAAATTTGTCAGAGTCATGACAATCTGAAAGAATGTGATCTATATAAATGAATGTTTCAAAATTAGACAGTACAAGCTGGTGGGATTTGTTTTCCTACGGTTGTAATCTTGGCATTCAAACATGAATTACCAAAAGCTGCCCTCTTCTTCTCTGAACCAACAAAGGACATATCAATCTCTTCCAATTTGACGCCCTCGCACGGAACTTTAGCACTACACTGCAACGAAACGGGGACGACCGAAATCGTCGTGCCTCGAATGTTCTTGTAATTGACCTCGCTTATCTTCACTTG